GAGCTGGAGACAGAAAATCAAAATGGCCGAACCCACTCAGCATTTCTTAAGCTGAAGGAATTGAAAAACAAATTCAAGCCACGAGTGGCAATGCTTAAAGATGCTTTGGGCAGTGTGTTAAATGATCCAAGAAGCATTAAAAGAAGATGAAAGGAGTATACAGTCACTGTATCAGAAGGAATTGGCTGACACAGAAGAATTTAATGAAATAATGTATGAGCAAGAGCCTATGATGATGAAGGAGGAAATTCAAGTTGCTCTGAAAGAATTGGCAAAAACAAGGCTCCAGGAGTTGATGACATATCAACTGACATATTTCAACAAACAGATGCTGCCGTGAATGTGCTAAATTGTGCCAAGAAATCTGGAGGACAGCCAGCTGGCGAACTGACTGGAAGAGAAGATAACTGTTCCAATTCCAAAGAAAGGTGGTGACCCAACAGAGTGCAAAAATTATCGAATGATATCGTTAATATCACATGCAAGCAAAATTCTGCTGAAAATTATAAAAAAATTACTGGAACAACATATCAAAAGAGAACTTCCAGATGTGTAGACTTGATTTAGAAGAGGTCATGTTACTAGGGATATAGTAGCTAATGTTGGATCTTAGCAGAAAGCAGAGAGTACCAGAGGAATGTCTATGCAAAGGCTTTTTACTGTGTGGATCACAACAAGCTGTGGCTGACTCTGAGAAGAATGGGAATCCCAGACCACTTGATCGTGCTTATGCGAAACTTATACTTGAACCAAGAGGCAGTTGTCAGAACAGAGGAAGGAGACACTGCATGGTTCAAAATTGGGAAGGGTGTATGCCAGGGATGTATTTTGTCTCCAAATCTTTTCAGTCTGTATGCAGAACAGATCATCCGAGATGCTGGGTTGTACAAGGAGGAATGTGGCATCAGGATTGGAAAAGACTAATCAACAACCTGTGTTATGCAGATGACACAACCCTGCTTGCTTAAACTGAGGAAGACCTGAAGCACTTGCTGTAGAAGGTCAAGGACTGCAGCCTCAAATATGGATTGAAGCTCAACATCAAGAAAACAAAGATTCTCACCACTGGGCCAAGTGGCAGCATCATTATGGTGAAGAGATTGAGATAGTTAATAGTTTCAGTTTGCTTGGCTCCACAGTCAACACCCTTGGTACCAGCAGCCAGGAAACCAAGAGATAAATTGCATTGGGAAAGTCAGCTGTCAGGAACCTCTCCAGAGTACTGAAGAGCAATGATGTTAGGCCGGAGACTAACGTGCACCTGATCTGGGCCATAGTCTTTGTAATGCATGCTATGTGTCAGAGAGTTGGACAGTGAATAGGGATGATAGAAAGAGAATTGATGCCTTTGAACTATAGTGCTGGATAAGAGTGTTGAACAGCAG